CTCCAGTGCCTTGAGTGGATTCTCTCTGGATCTATGAGAACAAGAGTCAGACAGCAGGAGAAGGGGGTAGAGATGGGTGGCAATCCATTCCAGTAGAGGGGGTCCCCACAGCATCAAATCTTGGATGCACATTTCAGTAAATGTGACAATTGCCTAAGCCTTTTATTTAGCCCACTAAATTTTTAATGAGGACAGTCTTGTTCATACTCTTTGTCCCAGGGATCCCAATATTTGGCATATACTCCACAGAGGTCAATGACAGAAAGAAAAGTACATTATCTAAGAAAGTATTTTTACTGGCACTCTGTGGGAGCAAAAAACTGAAAAGAAAGTGGGTAGCTGCTGGTTAGGGAATAGCTGAACAACTTACGGCACATGAATGTCAATCTTTCTTTGAGGAAAGGGGCCAAGGCTTTCGTTGATGTAAGGAACTCTATTGATGTCTTAGAACATTTTTTTTTTTGGTGAGGTAATCGGTGTTAAGTGACTTGCCCAGGGTCACACAGCTGGTAAGTATCAAGTGTCTGAGGTCACATTTGAACTCAAGTCCTCCTGACTCCGAGGCCGGAGCTCTATCCACTGCGCCACCTAGCTGCACCTAAAACATGTTTTATAACAACTGTTTTATAACATGGTCTTGGAGGATCGACTAGGGCCCTTGTCTCTTGAAGGCGACTTGCCCATTGTCACACAGCTAGTAGTGCCAAGGGCAGGCCTTGAACCCAGGTCAAGGCTGCCTCTTTTGCAATGATACCTTGCTTCCTCTCATGGGAACATAATGGAAAATCGTTGTATCATTGGAAATTTGGAATATGAGCAATTCAAAGAATCATGAAAAACGTGTAATCCCGCCTTGGAAATGATCCGTGTGACCCTGAACAAGTCACTTAGCCTCTTTGGGCCACAGTTTCCTCACCTGTAAGATGAGAGGGATGGACTCAATGACATCCCAGGCTACGTCTATAACCTTGTTATTCTGGTCCCATTTCAAATGCACACAATGACTTCAGTGAGGTAAGAGAAAATAACACTAACATAATGAGCACATAAACTCATTAACTGCAGTGCACAAAATTGGATCTACAGAACAGAGGATGAAACACATCCCTCCTCTTGGTAGACAGGTGGGGGAGGACAGGTGTGTTTTGGTTTTCCTCATTAACTGTTTTTCTTTGTTACAAGGGAGGATTCAGTGGGGGAGAGGGAAGAAGGAGGCATACCAGGGAATGCCTGTGATGTCAAAAAAAAAAAAATAACACAACAAAAAAACCCCAAAGCAAACGGTATTAATTTTTAAAAGAGAGTGTTTCTAAGGTTTCAGCTGCCCTTGTGAAGGAGCTCCCCTTTTTTCTTTGATCGAGTTCCAATTAAAAATGAAAAAAAATGTGAAACTAAATTCTGTAGGACAAAGCCTTGAAGATGTGTGTTCCTTTAAAAGGTCACACACTCCCCACTGCTGCCGTTCCAGGGAGTGGCAGGCTAATTAAGCAAGCCACATTGGAGGGCCATTTCCGAGAAAAGTGGCATTATCAGCCTCCCATCAGGGAGCTACCTTCAAGGGAGGTGCCAGGACCACTAAGGCGTGGGTATGATTGACCTTGCTGATAAGCTAAGCTGCTGTTATTTTGTCCTGGGTCTTTCTGGGCGCGAGATAGGTGCATTTCGTACCCACTGAAACCTCAACATAAACCTGTTTACTATGGAGTAGAATTCTGGTGAATGGTTTTCAACTTTATCCCAAGCGGGGGAGTATTCTTTTTCTTTTTTTCTTTTGTGGAGGCGATCAAGCTTAAGTGACTTGCCCAGGGTCACACAGATAGTATGTGCCTAAGTTTGAATTTGAATTCAGCTCCTCTTGACACTAGGGATGGTGCTCTATGCACTGCACCACCTAGCTGCCCTGGGTGAGCATATTCTTAACTTTATCCAAAGGAGAAGAGGGTGAGTATGTTCTCAATTTTAACCAGAGAGTTAATCACTGGGAAATAATATGTTTTTGGTCTGGATCTATGATTTCATCACTGCGGAGAAACTGAGGAAACTCCCCTCTGATTATGATCCTTGGAAACTAAGTTGCCCACTTTTGAGCCCAATTCTTCTTATCTGTCAAGGCTGGCCACAGTGGGGAAATAGAAAGAACCCCGAGCTTGGAATCATGGAAACTGAGTTGGGAGCCCAGCTGTTCTCCGTGGCTGCAATGCACTTCCTTGCTACCTCTGACACGAAGCAAGGCCCTTCCCTTCTGCACGTGTTTCCTCATATTTAAAATCATGGGGTTGGACTCGATGACCTCAGAAGTCCTTTTAAGTTATAGATCCGCAATAATAACATATTTCTAAAACTTCTAAACATTTACAAAATGCTTGCCTTACAACTTCCATGGTATAAGTAGTGCAATTAATTTTCCCACTTTACACAACAAGTATTACAGTTGTAGAACTTAAGGGACTCAGAGATCACGAGTCAACCGCTTAATTTTACAGATGAGGAAACTGAGGCTTAGGGAGATGGAAGTGTCTTGTTCAAGGTCACACACAAGGTCAGAACTTCTGAATCTAGGTCTCTAAGATCTTTTTTTTTCTAGAGTTCCTCCAGCACAATTTCCTTCACACTACTCTTACCCTTCTTAAAAGGGAGACCCATGTCACAGAACTTACGGAGAACACAACGATGAATTTGGAGGCAGTTGGGTGGTATAGTGAATAGAATATTGGGCCTGGAGTCAAGAAGACCTGAGTTCAAATCTGGTCTCCTCAGACACTTATTAATTGTGTGACCCTAGGCAAGTCACTTAACCCATGTTTGCCTCTGTTTCCTCAACTGTAAAATGGACATAATAAAAGCACCCATTTTGAAGGGTTGTCGTGAGGATCAAATGAAATCATATTTGTAAAGTACCTGGCAGGTGTAAGTAGGGGCTATGTAAATGCTTATTTCCTTCCACTTCCCTAATATGTTTCTATTACTCCTTCCTGAGGGGAAAGTGGGGAACAAAGTGTGGACAGACAGAAGATCATAAGAGCATAGATCTAGAACTCCAAGCAACCTCAGAAGTCATACTATTGAACTTCAGCAATTTACAGATCAGGAAACTGAGGAGCAAAAAGCTGAAGTGTCACATATGTGGTAAGCCTTGGAAGTAGCATTTGTGGGGCAGCTAGGTGGCGCAGTGGATACAGCACAGGCCCTGAAGTCAGGAGGACCCGAGTTCAAATATGACCCCAGACCAAACACTTGACACTTGATAGCTGTGTGACCCTGGGCAAGTCACTTAACCCCAATCGTCAAAAAAAGAGAAATAGCATTTGAGCCTGCATGCTCTGAACTGAGGCACGCTCTCCCCTGCATTCCCCGCAGCTTACCTCCTTAGAATAAGAACCCATAGTGGGGAGTGGGGGTCCACAGTATTAATAATAATGAACGACCATTTTCTTTCATTGTCTTATTTTTAGGATTTTGAGGATCTTACTTTGAGGACCCCCCCAACATACACAATACACTCTCTTATACACGCACACTCTCCCTCTGTCAGACACTAGTTAGATTTGGCATTGTATTGCCTTAGAGTTGCTACGAGGACTAAGAAATATTTCTCAACAGGGTCTGGAGGGATGTTTGAGGCTTTACATGGCTGCCCCCTAAGTTGCCTGATGCATTAGAACTAGGCTCTCTTTGGAAGATGAGAAACTACAGAAGTTACAACCTTGAATCCCTGCTCCCTCCGCTCCAAAAATAAATTCACTATGGTGGGGGCTAGATGTAAGTGTCTATATAACTCTTCTCCCCCCTCGCCCTTTTTTCCCCCTTCGTCAAGGTTAAATGCAAGGTTAAGTCTGCCATCTCCCCTGGCAGCCGCCAAACTACCTGAGTAGGAAGTTGGCTCTTTCCTGGCCAGAATGTTTCCTATCAGAGCGAGACAGGAAAGGAATCCAGGCATGGAGGCATGAGGACCTGGATGCAAATGGTGCCGCAGCCTTAGCCGATTGGCTGAAAGGGCTGGAGCCTCTCATTTTCCCTCCACCCAACCCCCGCAAGCCTTAGACCATTAATCCAGATGGTCTTTTTGGCCCCACCTCCTGCCGCGCTCGCGGTCCTGACTCCTCCAGGCTGGGCTCCGAAGGACCCTCCCGGGAGTCAAGGAACGGGTTTTTCTACCTGGGATCCAGACCAGGAATTGACAGACGGGCAGGCGGCCGGCTGGGATTCCCAGCAGCACAGCGTGGCCCTGGAAATCACTGTCCATCTGTCCATCCGTCTGTCTCTATCAGCGTGTCTATCTTTCTGACTCTGTCAAGTCTTTGTCTGCCATTCTGTCGGGCTCTCTGTCTGCCTTTCTGACTCGGTCTATCTCTCTGTCAGTCTGGGCGTCTTGTTTCGGTCAGTCTCTTTCTTTTCTAATCTATCGGTCAGTCGGTGTGTCTGTCTGTCCATCCATCCGCCTGCAGCTTCGCGTCCTGGTCCCAGGGCTGGGACCGCCCCCTCTCCGAAAAGGTTTTTAATGCTCCAGGGATCACGGACACACACGCACAGAGGACCAGAGCAGGGATCCCCCCACACACACACTACAACCCTCCCCCCCATACATACACACACACACACACACACACACACACACACACACACACACACACAGTGCCTAGGAGAGAGAACAAATAAGGAATCCCCCTACCCCAGGAAGGGGAAGAGAAAGGGGAGGGAAGGAAAAGAGAGAGGAAAGAAAGAACGGGGTGGAACGGGACGTTACTGTTAGGGGAGGGGAAGACTGGGCTGGGATTGCATCCGTGGCAGTGGCCGCGGCTCTGCCTGAGGTCCCCGGGGAGGCTAGATTGGTACAAGCTGGGCTGGGTTCGGGGCGCTGCCGAGGGCTGCAGGGTTGAGGAAGAGAGGAAGAGGGGACCCGGCCAGGCTGGGTCAGACTAGGGGAGACTCGGAGAACCCCCCAGCCCCTTCCTCGAGCTGCCCCCTCCCTCCTGGCGCCGTGCGTGGGCACGTGGGGGGGGATGAGATCGCCGTCAGAGGGTGGGTCAGCCTTTGTGTGCGCCCTGGGTGGGTAGTGTGTGTGTGTGTGGTGCTTACACTAGCTCTCTGAGTGTACGTGTGTATATATAAGAAAGAGACCCTAATATTAGAGGGCTGGGTGTGTGACAGTGGCTAAGATAGGGCCTCTGTTCCCCGAAGACTGCGTGTGCCTGTCCGTGTGTGTGTTTGTGGTGCTTACACTAGCTCTCTGAGTGTATGTGTGTATATATAAGAAAGAGACCCTAATATTAGAGGGCTGGGTGTGTGACAGTGGCTAAGATAGGGCCTCTGTTCCCCGAAGACTGCGTGTGTGTGTGTGTGTGTGTGTGTGTGGTGCTTACACTAGCTCTCTGAGTGTACGTGTGTATATATAAGAAAGAGACCCTAATATTAGAGGG